GCTCAGCGCGCGGCTGCGCCTGGCCTCCGCGTCCTGGGGTGGGGGCCAGAGGAGGCGAGAGACTCAGGAGCCGGAGTTTGCGGAGTTCGCCGCCTCCAGGCCTCCTCGACATTGGCACGCTTGCCAGGGGCGCCAAACAGACGGCCCGCGGACCAGAATCAGCCCCGGTCTCTGATTTGGGACCGTCATGCCCCCTCCCCCTTTTAAATGCTGCAAGCTGCGCGTGCGTACTCCACTTCATTTCTTTTCATTTATGTGACCTGTCCAACTCCTAATAGGGTTTTGAGTTTGTGACCCTCTTTTGATCCCCGACCCCCATAAGTCTCCACCTACCTGCAAGAACTTGTCAAAGCGGAAAAATGACCCCTTCAGCTCCCGCTCCTTCTCTTCCAGCTCTTGCCAGCGCTGCTGTAGGGCTGCCATTTTGGTCTGGAACACCTGGGTGTGAGAAGAGGGGTGTCTGTTGGGAGGCTCAAGTCAAGTTTAGGGCTTTAGGTTCACACTGAACCCCTCTATTGTACTTGATCTTGTCATCGCTCCCTGGTCAAACCTGCCACGTCCACGTCCCTCAGGACCAAGCCCAAGTGTCCTCCTGCAGCCTCTGCCTGTCAGGGTCCCTCTCTTCCTTTTGGACTCAGCTCTCTCCTCTGATTTGGCAACTTTGCTTTGACTTTACCTAAAGGACTTTGCACATGATGTTCCCTCTGCCTGTTCCTTTCTCCTCATCCTGTCGCACTTTGCTAAATAAATGACAGCAAGTAGTAAGACATCACTTCCTCAAGGAAGCCCTCCTTGACTACTCCCAGGTGGAGTCAGGGGCTTCCTCTGGGCTCCCACAGTCCTGCCCAGTGCTTCTTCCAACATAGTCACCACCCAGACCCTTGTCTATCTCCCTCTCTGGAGTGTGGTCCCCAAGAGGGCAGGACGGTGCTGAGACATGTAGAGCCCAACACAGCGCCTGGTACATAGTAGGTGCTCAATGTATGCTTATTTCTATCAACAACTGATGTCACCAGATCCCCACTTCACCATTGAGGAAACCAAGGTTCACAGTGCTCATAGCTAGTAAGGGGGCGCTGTCATTTCCCATCCCCCTTCTTGCTGTTCTGCCCCACCCCATCTTCTGTCTGGTGTCCCAAAGAGACTCAGGAGCAGCGGTTCACCTCCTTCTGGGTCTGCAGGGCCTGGTCTGCATCCGCCAGCTCCTGCTTCTTCTCCAGGAGCTGTAACACTGGGGGGAAGTGGTGCACTTTCTGCTCCAGGATCTTCCTGCCCAGGGGGATGCGAGGAGAAGGTGGGTCAGGGAGGCAGGAGGCAGGAGTCGCCTGCAAATTCCCACAGTGAGATGGGGAAAGAGTCCTCAGACTAACTAACTCCTTCCCACCTTGGTGTGAATGATTTCATCTCAGCTGCATGTCAGCTGGGTGGGGGTCAGGAGCAGGTTGGAGACCTGGCCTACTGGCTCGGCTCAGCTCTGCCCTAACTTCCTTGGGAAGCCTGGGGTTCTTCTCTGACCCTCAGTTTCTTTGTCAGGTGGGGCAATAATCCACCTGGAACCTTCCTAGGAAGCTGGGACTCTGGCACCGTGATGAGGGGCTGGGCCATTTCACCCGCCCCAGCCCTTCTTCCAGCTGGCTCCGAGCTACCGCAGACCACTCACCTCGACAGCTTCTCTTGTAAGGCCAGTTGGAAATATTCCTCCCAGGGCCTTGCCATACTCCTGTATGTCTTTCCACTGGCTGGGGCCTTGCGCACACTTAGGAAGGCCTGGAGGCTCTGATGGAGGGCAGGATAGCAGCTTGCTCAGTGCTCGCAGAAGGCAGCCACCAAGCCAGCCCTGGTTGCCTGGGCAACCAACGACACAACATTCCATTTCCTGGCTGAGGCCTGGGGAATCCACCCTGGTGGGAGAGGGAGGGCACCGCGGTAAGAGTAGCAGCTCTGCCCTCTCAGAGAAGCCTTGGATTCTGGATGGGAATTGGGGTGCAGTGGAGAGGAGAGGGTTTTTTTGCCTATCCCGATGCTGCAAGTCTGGTCCAGCCCTGGGCCATTGCTCCCAGGAAAGGCGCTGAGGGTTTATATTCCGTCTGGCCCTTTGAAGTTCGCCCTAAACTGGAGATAGGCTACTCTGGCCATGTCTCAGGGGGTTCCCAGCCAGGTTAGGGCAGATAGAGGGGGACCCTCGGTACCACCTGCTGGAGGCTGGCATGGAAAGGACGGTGATTTGAATTTGGAGGTGTGGGGGGGAAGTGCATGAGGAAGATGGGAGGCAAAGAGCTGACATGGGCTCTAGTTTAATCCTTGACACACCCCGCAGGGTGTGGTATTAATACAAGTTCCCGAGGGTCTTCCACCTAGAAGGGAACAGCATATGCAAAGGCCCAGAGGCAGGAAAGTGTGGCCTCTCACTGAAGGGTTTGAACCGCCAACCTTCTGGTTAGCAGCCAAATGCCTTAGGCACTCTGCCACCAGAGCTCCCGAAAGGGAGGCAGGCATGCAGAATTGAGGACAATGGGGCAGGTCAGGGCTGGCTGGTGCCAAGAGGGGGGCAGATTTACGCTACAAGTGACAGGCGAGGAAACCGAGGCCCAGGGGACCTAAGTGACTTCCCCGACGAAACCGGCTGAGAAGCTGTGAGGCCTGGCATCTGTCTACCACACAGGCCTGGGTGCTGGGAGTACGTGGAAGCTTATGGTTTAGCGAGAAGGAGAAGTTTCCCTACTTGTCTTGAGAAGACAGGAGCCACGATTTTACCTCTGCCATCAGCCAGTCTACTCCCTCAGGCCTCAATCTTCCTGTCTGTTGAGTGGGCTGCTGTTCCCACTGTATCCTCCTCTTGGGGCTGCCCTGCCACTAGCAGTTTCTGTCCCCACCTCCTGGAGGTAGGTCTCCTGGCCGCTGAGTGACAGTAGGACACAACTTCTCAGCTGGCCTTGCCCTTGGCCGCAAGCCCACAGGCTCTGGAAATATCCACTCTCCCCACCCCCAGTATCTCACGCCCCAGTGACTTCCTACTTCTCCATTCCAAGGAGGTAGTGGGGTGACCACTTGGGGGAGTAGGGCTGAGGAAGGAGGAAGCCTGGGTGAGGACTAACAGACAGACACCTGGTTTCCCAGACCCAGGAGCAGGGACTTACCAGGCCCTATTCCTCGGCAACCAGCCCAAAGGAGGGATTTTTGGAAATGCTGTCTGATCCTCCCACTGTTGCCTTCTGTCCCACGTGGCTTTCTGCCCAGAATCAAAGACGCCCAGCATCACAAATGGGGCTTTGTGTTCCTGAGACAAGAAACAGCTCCTCACCTTAACCTGGGCCAGGGCTGGATCTTGGCCTCTGAAGGAATGGTGCCCATTTCTGAGAAGGGGAAACCAAGGGCTAGAGATGCGCAGGTGTGTGGCAGCAGGGGGCGGGGTTAGGTCTCCTGGTCTCCGGTAGAGCTCCAGAGGGAGGTGGGTCTGTTGGAATAGTGTGAGTCCCATTCTAGGCACGGTGTGGGGAGAGGAAGGAAAAAATAATGACCTGTTATGACAATGAGGAGAGGTCAGATTCCAGCCCTGTGGGGAACTGAACTCTAGTTAACCCAACAAGTATGTTTTGGGTTTTACTTAGGTGCCAAGCCTTGTGGGAGGCTTAGAATGAATCAGACATTGTCCCTGACATTTAGGAGATAAGACCAGCGTGTAAATCACCACAAAACAAGGGAACAAGACACCAAGGTCGTGGAGAGTGGCTGACGGTGTGCAGAGCCGGTGTGTGTGGGGGGATTTCCACGTCCTCTGTGGCTGTGAGCCGAGCTTCTGGTGTTCCCAGACCGTGGAACTGGGAAGGCCTGTGCACAGTCAGTGCTCACAGCTGGGAGAAGCAGGCTTCCCTTCCCCCTGCCCAAGCCCCAGCTCCCATCACTCTTCTGGCCTGAGAAGCCTTCTCCGCCCTGTTGAGCCCTGCCTGGACCCAGGCCAGCATCTCACAGCAAGAGGGGCACAGTCTTTGTACCAGGAACAATGCCAGGTACCTTACTCTGCTCTCTTGATTCACCCTGGAGACGAACCCCTGAGAACGGTGAGACCCTTCCACCATGGACCTCGTGGGTCTTCCCTCTCCCTGTCTCCTAGGTGGAGGCCCCAGCAGCTACACCCCTCTTTGGGTTGCCCTTGCCCTTCGGGGTCCTCACTAGGGGGCTGACCTACAAGACCTCAATTCCCTGCAAGTTTCAGGGCTCTCCGAACAGCAGGAAGTGGCCAGGCCATGCGTAAAATATGGGGAGTGTGGCCACAGCCCCAGGCAAACTGCAGGGTCAGACACCGGATATTTGGCAAGTGACAGGGCTGGTTCCTTGGAAGCCGGGCTGGCACAGTTGATAAAACCTTGGTAATTCCCTCTGGGGTGGGGTGTTTGGGAATGTGACTTCCTGTTCAGGTCTGGAAATGTTTTGAGATGGCTGAGTGGTAATTTGGTTGGCATCCAGGGGGTCCCACAACTGGGCCTCCAGGTTCCATCAGGGGCCCTGGGGGTAGGGTGGAGCTGCATGGCTTTCCAGCCCCAACCCAAGTTGGAGGGAGACCCAGGACACCTGTCTTGAAGCCACAGCTACTTAGCAAGTACCATTTTCTCCTTAGATTGTATATTTGATTTGGGGAGATCTGGGGTGATGGAGAAAGGTGATTGGAGTGGGGAAAGGTGTTAACTACCTGTTGGGGTCACCACCGTTCCAGATCCAATTCTGGATCACCTATCACCCCCCCCACACACACACACACACCGAAGGATGTCACAATACTTCTAAGCCTTGGGGACTGTCCTACTAAATCCATTTCTCAGATGGGGAAACTGGGGCGTAGATCTCCGCGTGTCGTTGGACACACCAGGCAGCATCAAGCCAGAGAGAATTTCAAGGTTCTGAATCGCTCATCAGCCTGCTGGGGCATTGGGTGGGGGGCCAAGGAGGGAGACTGGGGAAGCAGGCTGAGCCTCTCTGAGGCTGGGTAGAGCGAGCCTGGTCCCACTGGTCTGGGTGTGGGCTCCTTCACTCATTTGCCAGTTGCCTTCCTGGTGGTGTCCAGCCCTGAGCTGACCCAAGTGAATGCAGCTTGGTGCCTGACCTTCTACGAGCACTCAGGCAGGTAAACAACGAACTCATGGGTAGAAATAAGCATGTGCAAGTGTCTTCCTTGGGACAGGCCCTTCTGGTCACTTCATCTCATTTATAACTTGGAAACTGTACCCACCTAGAGCTGTGGGAGCAGGGCAAAGGGAGGAAACCATCTGTCCAGGGTGAGAGACATCCTGGAAGGCTTCCCAGAAGAGGTGACAACTGAGTCATGCCTCAAAGGACGATCATAATATCAAACACTTTCTGAGAACTTCTTAGGTGCCTGTCACTTTTCTGAGAACTTAATTTGCATTATCTCATTTAATTCTCTCAAAACTCATGATCCACGGGACAGGAGAGGAAAACAAATGGTGGTCTAGTGACTTGCCCATGACCACACAGCTACCAAGTGGTAGAAACAGGATTCAAACCTGGGAAGTCAGACCACTTACTGGCTGTGAGACATGGCAAGTTATTTAACACCTCTGGAACCTTACTTTCTCTCCCGGTAGAATGGGGTAACAGTATTTAGCCTATAGGGTTATGTTGTTGTTGTTGTTAAGTGCTGTCCAGTCATCTACAACTCATAGCAACCCCTCCTTGAGTTTCTGAGGCAGTATCACTATGGCAGTAGATTGCACAACCTTCCTTCTGAGGAGTGAGTGGCTGGTGGGTTTGAACCGCCAGCCTTCTGGTTAACAGTCAAGTGCCTTAGGCACAGTGAGGATTAATCAAATCATCACTGCAAAGCGCTTAGAACAGTGCCTGGCACACAGCACTTGTTCAAACAATTGTAGAAGACTTGACTTGTCACTATCCTGACAGTTATCTTCCAGCCTCCCCTCCCCCTCCGGCCGTGTTCCCCACCCCACCCCCCTTGTGCCAGCCGGTGACGTGAGAGCCCCTACCCGCACAGCCTGGGTTTAACTGGAAACTCAAAGGAGATGGGAGGGGTGTTCACTGTCCCTCCCTTGACTCGGAACGCGTCCCCCTCTACACGGGAATCTGTGATCCCGCAGGGACCGGTCCTGGACAGGGCACGCAGGTCCCACCCGGGAGGCGGCGCGGTATGGGAGGCTGGAGATGTGGAAGGGTCGTGAAGGTAGGAGACAGACTTTCTTTTGAACCCAATTCCGACACTCCAGGAGCCAGCCGCCACGCCCATCATGATCGCGGGGCCCCTCCCCGCCTCGCGGTCCCAGCCTCCCGCCGCCGAGGCACCGCGGCCCGTGCGCTTGGGCGCGCAGGGCTGGGGTGCCGGCAGAGGGCGCGCGAGGTGGCCCGGGGGCGGGCGGGGAACCCGCGGGAGGCGGGATTGGGAGGAGGGCCCAGGCCGCCCCCTCCTGCCCTCCCGCCGGGAGCTCCAGACGCCGAGGAGCCCCCGCGCGCTTCGCCTGCTCGGGGCTCTGCTCCTACCTGTAGAGTCCCGGCTGGCGCCCCTCCCCGGGCACCTGTCCCTTCCGCACCTTCCGAAACCTACCGCCCAGCTACCCGCGTCTCGGACGGGCGGCGCTGGCACGCCAGGGTTGCAGCTGGTGACATGTAGACGCCCACGGGTCCAGCCTCAGAACCTCGGCGCGCTCCTGCCCGGAAAGTTTGAGGCTGGGCGCCATGGCCAAGAGCAGCTCTCTGAATGTCCGCGTGGTGGAGGGCCGCTCGCTGCCTGCCAAGGACGTGTGAGTACCGCCGGGCGCGCCAGGGGTGAGGGGCGCGCCAGGCATGGGGTGGGGCTGGTCGTTCTAACGCAGACTAAGGAAAGACGGTGAGGAGAGGTGGGGGTGGTTGGGTCCTACCTAAGACCCGGTATTGGGACAGGTCGGGCGTGTGCAGGGTGACAGCCTCATGCCCATCTCCGTCCTGAGAGAGGGGGTGCCCACACTTAGCAGATGTTTCCCCACCTCTCCCGGGAAGGGGGTGCCTTTCCTCCTGGGATGTATTGAAGGACGTCTTCCAGGGCTGAAGAGGGAACCAGACCGTCGGAATCTGCAGAGCTAGGGAGGGGGTGAAGGGAGACTTGCCTTCGTCCAGCAGTTGTTGGGGTGGGGCTTACGAGCAAACTGAGGGGGTGGTGCCCCAGGGGGCAGGATCCAGGTGGGCCCCCTATTCCCGTGTGCGTGTGGTGTTTGTGCTGGAGCTCACCAGGTGGCCAGCCAGCCAAGCCTGGGGGATCTTCGGGTCTTTTGAGCCAGAATCTGAGCCTCCGTTGTGGGGTCTCCGAGCTGAGCGGAGCTGCCCCTGGGTGCATCGAGCTACAGGCCCTCCCCAGCCAGGCATGGTGGGGCTGGGGGCCCCTAGCTGTGCATCCCCCAGCGTTGAGTCAGCAGCTGCGGACTCAGCAGAATGGGGGTGGGGGTGGGGTGTCGTGATCCCTTCCTGCTTGGCCTGGAGCCCAGAAGGGGCTCTGAGGGTGTCAGCACCTGAGACAGCTGTGGGATCATTGGTAGGACATTGGGTGTGTGACCTTGGACCTGATCTTCTCTGGTCCACTGGACTCGTATTTCCCATCTGGGCAATGGGCGCTCTGGGCTGGAGTCTCCAAGCCCCTCTAGCTATGAGGTTGGGGGTGCTGGTAGGATCTACCCCATGCCACAGGAACAGGAATGTGGATTCGGAGACTTTGCCCAAGTTGGAGTAGGGCTTGGCCGTGCCCTGACCCCAAGGCAGACCCTGCTGGCTCCCCGTGAGCAGTATCCTGCCTCTGATCTCGTGAACCCCCCAATACTGCAGCTGCGTCAAGAGGGGCCTCTGAGAGCAGTTTCAAACCCCCTATCCTTATCAGCCCCACCCCCCAAATAAACATCCACCTGGAACAGGAGCAGAACGCAGCACTCAGAGAAATCCCGTACCACCCTGCTTCTGAGACGTCCCTTGAGAGGCCCCCAGAATCAGAACTTCTGGAACTCACAGGGCAGTGAGGTCAGGGTAGGGGCTGGCAGCTGCTAGAGGTTCTGAACGGGCCCCTTCCAGAAACAGTGCTCACCCCTAGTCCTGGGCCAGGGGCCATGGAGGCCAGACTTTGGCTTCTGGGACCCCTCGACATGGGCCTGAGGAAAGAGTTGTGTAATGCCTGGTTTCTGCACCCCCCTCCTTACCCTTACCCAGTTCCTGGGCTAAAGTGAGCTCTGAGGGGGCCCTCAGCCCCACAGCAAGATGGGGAAGGCTGCTGAGCCCCAGCTAGGGTTCCAGCCACCTGCCTCAGTTTCCCTAGCTGTTGGCTTCCTTCTTCAAAGGGCTCTCCTCAGGGCATGCAGGGATCTCCAGACCGAGAGGGGCTTTTAGGGGTGCGTGTTCCCTCCCCCTCTCCCAAGGGAAAGGCTCTGAGATTCTGCCTGAGGCTCGCAGGGTTTGAGGGAGTCTGACCTGGTCTCAGGGAAGAGTTTTGCAGTTCTCGCTATCACTGTTGTTAATAATAGCCGCTGTAAGTCGTTGAGGGCGCTCCATGGACCAGGCCCGGTGCTTCATATTTCATACGGACCTGTTTGCATCTCCACTTCACAAATAGGGAAACTGAGGCCCAGAGGCAAAGCCATTTGGCCAAAGTCACCCAGCTGGGACTTGAACCGTGAGCACTTCTACTACTCAAAGCAGACTGGGCAGCTGATGGCTGAGGGGCCTGCTTTCCCACGCTTGGGCTGGGACAGGGGCTGTGGGAGAGGCCAAGGGTCTGGAGAGGGCAAAGGTCTAGAAGGGGTGCCCCCATGGCTGCCATTGCCCTTACCTGATGGGCGCCTGATAAGGGCCTTCTGACTTACAGCCCCGGAGCTGAGAGCTCAGGTCCCATGAGGGCCCAGGGGTCAGGCTGGGTCCAGGGGAGGGGGCGTGTCTCAACGATCCCGTGTTTCTGTGACAGAAATACAAGTGGGTGGCTTTAAGGAACAGGAATGTATTCTCTCACAGTTCAGGAGGCTAGAAGTCCCAATTCCGGGTGCCAGCTCTAGGGGACGGCCCTCTCTCTCTGTCGGCTCTGGAGGAAGGTCCTGTCTCTTTGAGCTTCTGTTCCTGGGTGATGTTTACATGGCTTGGCATCTCTCTGCCCACACTTCTGCTTCTCTGGGTTAATTTCCTTCATATTTCAAAAGAAACTGACTCAGGACTCACCCTCCACTAATCCTACCTTATTCACTTAACAGACAGCTCATTCCCAAAAGGGATTGTAGCCGCAGGCACAGAGGTGAGGATTTACAGCACATATTTTTGGGGGACACAGTTCAATCCATAGCAGGGAGTGTCCCCCAGCCCTTTGCTACTGGCATCCCAGACAATCTGCTCCCCCTCTGCAGTTAGGGAAACTGAGGAACAGGGAACCCACCTACGGAAAGTGCAGGTGCCGAGAACCCAGGCACACAGTGGGCCGGGAGTGAAGCCCAGAAGGGAAAGAGGCCTGCGGTACCACACAGAAGGAGGTTCAGAGATGGAATCCAGAGAGGGAAACGGAGGCCCAGGGCAGGGCTCTCCTCAGGGCTCTTGGTACCAGTGTCACTCTTCCCTGGAATTACTGAGGCGTTTGAGTTTGAGGATCTGTGACAGAGAAGGGGTGGAGGAGGTAGAGAGGTGGGGCTGGGGTGGCGAAAGGAGGGCCGTGGGGAGTGGAGGTGGATAGACACAGAGGGACCATGGGCTCAGAGCCTCACAGACCTGCATCCAAACCCTGCTGTGCTGTGTTCCTGGTATGACAAGTGCCTTCACCTCTCTGAGCCTCCCAGAAAAGCTCAAGTTCATTCATCTGCCATCTCTCCAGAGAGCCTGTTACTACTCTGTGCCAGGCAGTGTGTGTGTGTGTGTGTGTGTGTGTGTGTGGTGGTCGTGGGGGTGCGGAGATAGCTGTGACTAAGACAGCTCCTTCCCCAAGAAGCTCACAGTCCAGAAGTTGGGGAAGTGAAAATATTTTCGATGGGGCAGTGGTAGTCAGGGAAGACCTGTCTGAGGAGATGATTTGGGAGCTAAGATTTGAATGGCACGAAGGAGCCAGCCGTGACCAGATTAGGGACAGGGTCCCAGGCAGAGGGAAGAGCATGTGCAATGGCCCTGAGGCTGGACTAAGCTTGGCAGAACACAGAGGAGGCCCGTGGAATGGGGTAGGGGTAGGAGGTGAGGGGTTGGGGTAAACGGCTTGAGGTTTGCTGGTCACTCTTATTATGAAGGGGGGATCGAGGATATAGTAGTGGCTTTTATTATGAAAGGGGGACAAAAGATGTGGTGGTGCAGTGGCCGCTGCAGGTGATGCAGCTCATCTCTCCTGTTGGCTAAGCTTTGAGGTGTAGGCCCCTGGTCTGTGCCTGCAGTGAGAGGGTCAGCTCAGGAGCCACTCACTGATGCCCTCCCCTAGAAAACTCCCATAGAAGTGAAAGCTGGGGAGGGCAGTGCTTACCACAGAGGGTGGCAGTTAAGGCAAGGTGAGCTAAGGGGTGCTGAGGCCAGGGATGACTCCCACGCACATGCTCTTGACCTTCAGGCTTCCAGGGTTGGGCCGCGGGGTTGTCTGGCTCCTGCCTTCATTTTCCATTTCTATGCATGGAAGCCGAGAGAGGCCATATGAGGTGGGTCAGGCATGTGCTGGGTGGGCTGTGCAGCTGTGACATCTCCTGCCGGTCCCCTGGGGTCCTGCCTCCCACCTGGACCTGCTGTGTGACCCTGGGCAAGTCCCCTCCTCTCTCTGGGCCTCAATCTCCCCTACCTGTTTAGTGAAGATAGATTAGGAACCCCGTCCGTGGCTGCCCTTTCAACTCCCCCTCTAAATCCCTTCCCACAGGTCTGGGAGCAGTGACCCCTACTGCATAGTGAAGGTGGATGACGAGGTGGTGGCCAGGTGAGGAGCAGGGACACAAGGTCTGGGGAGAGGGCAGCACATTAAAAGAGGAGCTGGGGGCGAACAGTGCTTGCTGAGGGGGGTGCTTATGGGTCTGAAGGACGATGCTTTGTGCCCTGGCCTCTCTGGGCCTAACTGGGGCTGTCATCTCCTCTCCCAATCTGGTCCCCTCAGCTGGCCGGGTGCCCTCCCACTCTGGACCCCATGATGTCCCTGCTGGTTCCTTGGGGCTGACTCAGCGGCTGCCAGCCCACAGTGGCCTCCCTGGGGGCGGGCAGCTCACGCTTGGCTGGGTGCTGCGGGCACTGGGGTGTGTGTGAGTGTATGAGTGTGTCTGTGTATGGGCATTGGTGGGAGCACCTAGGATCCAATGTGTGTGTCCCTCTGGGTACACCAGTGTGTGTGTGTGTGTGTGTGTGTATGCACATGGCTGTTCCATACATGCATGTGTGCACCGATGCCTGCTTATTTGGGTCCATGGACACTGGTGTGAACATGTGAGGATATGTGGATGTCTGGCGTATGAGTGAGGGTTGGGGGGGCATCGGGCTGGGGCGTGCTTAACTCCCACCCCCGCAGGCTGAGGGACAGCTCCTGGCCCCTGCAGGCCTGAGGGGGGCGGGCACTGAGGCCTCAGTTCCTATGGAAACAGCAGGATTCAGGATGCTTCTGGCGCTGGTTCTGGTCCAGATGGTCAGGGAACTGGGGGTGGGGAGGCTGTGTGTGGAGGGTCCCCTGTCACTCTCCTTGTGCCTATACTCTGTGACATAATCCCCAAACCCTCAACTTGAGTTTCTGTGTGACCTCAGGTTACTGTCTTTCTCTGTCTGGGCTGTGAGGAACCCCCAAGGTTCCCAGCTGGGAAAAGGTTGGGGTGGAGAAGAGGGTGTTAAGAGGAAGCTATGAGGGTATATCTGATGGGGGCGTCCGTGGGTTGGGTATGAGGGCAGGGGATGTGTGCAAGCGTACACTGTTGTTGGGGAGAGTGTGCTATGGGAAAAGGAAGGGAACAGCAGGTGTATGAACCAAATTTTGCAGCCAGACATGTGGGAGTGTCTCCAGTGGGCAAAGTCAGTTCTTTGTTCCCTTGGGTAAAGGGAAGTGTGTCTGCAGGGTGTCGGGGGGAGATGCTGTGTGTCTGTGCATGTGTGTACATCCTGGCTGGTTTGAGACCTCAACCTCCTGAGGTTCTGACTTCCCTCACTATGTGCTGCAAAACTCCAAGTGCTCTATGGTCCCCGAGCCCCCTACCTGTTTCTAGTCCCCTTCCCCTTTCTATTCTTCCAATATTCACTGAGCTCATTCCTGCCCCAGGGCCTTTGCACATGCTGTTCCTGCCACCTGGAATACTTGCCCTCACCTTCTCGCCCTGCTTTGCCTGCCCACCTCCTGCAGGAAGTAGGACCCACTGTTCCCATCCCTGGACCTAATCTGGTGCCACTGAGTTAACCCTAGGGCTCCATCACTGTATCCTGAGCCCAGAGAACCCCTGCCCCATAAGGGATGTCTGTGGGGAGAGGGATCTGCCTCACCCTCTAACTTTCCAGAGCCCAGCACACTCACACAGTAGGGGAGAGTGTTCACAAAGGGAAGGACGGAAGGGAGGGAATTATGTGTGCGTGTTTGTGAAATTCCATGTATGTGTCCACCACGTTAATTGAGGTTGTCAAAGATTTCATATTACTTGGTTCCACAATCAACACCCATGGAAGCAGCAGTCAAGAAATCAGACACGTATTGCACTGGGCAAACCTGCTGCAAAAGACCTCTTTAAAGTGCTGAAGAACAAAGATATCTCTTTGAAGACTAAAGTGTGTCTAACTCAAGCCATGGTGTTTTCGGTCGCCTCACATGCATGTGAGAGCTGGGTAATGAATAAGGAGGACTAAAGAAGAGTTGATGCTTTTGAGTCATGGTGTTGGTGAAGAATGCTGAAAGTACCATGGATTGCCAGAAGAAGGAAAAATCTGTCCTGGACGAAGTGCAGCTGGAGTGCTCCTTGGAAGCGAGAATGGCCAGACTTTGTCTCACCTACTTTGGTCATGTTGTCAGAAGGGACCATTCCCTGGAGAGGGATCTCATGCCTGGTAAAGTGGAGGGTCAGCGAAAAAGGGGAAGGCCCTCAACGAGATGGATTGATAAGTGGCTGAAACGATGGGCTTAAGTATAGCAAGGATTGTGAGGTTGGTGCGGGACTGGGCGGTGTTTCATTCTGTTGTGCGTGGGGTCGCCACGTACAACGAGCTGACTCGATGGCATCTAATAACAACAACAACATGTACACACGTGTCTGTGGGTCTCTATGGATCTGCATTTCTGTCTGCATGGAACCATGTGTCAGAGTGTATATTCTGGGCATTTCTGTTGTCTGTGTTGTCTATCTGTGTGGATATCTGCTTTGTGTATGTCTGCACATGTCTGTATGCATCTATATGTTTCTAGAAATTTCTGAAGGGGTATATATATATGCACATATGGAGATACCTCTTTCTGTCTCTGGCTATGTGTGTCTTTTTGTCTCTCTGTGTCTCTGGACTCTTAGGTGTGTATTGGGGCCCCTGTGTGTGTGTTTGTGGGGGTGTGTTTTGGTCTCTGAGGATGTGCATGTATGAGTGTATTTGTGTGTGTTTGTGTGTCTCTGTGTCTGGGTGCATGAGTATGTGTTTGTGTGTGTGTGTGTGTGACCCTGGGTGGATGTGTATCTAGGTCTTGTATCTAGTTTGTGGGCATGTGAAGTTTCTGCTTGTGTGTGTGTGTGTGTGTGTGTGTCCGGGTCCTCCTGGATGTGTGTCTGGGTCCCCAGCCCTCCACCCCCTCTTACAGGACAGCGACTGTCTGGCGGAGCCTGAGCCCCTTCTGGGGCGAGGAGTACACGTTGCACCTGCCCCTGGACTTCCACCACGTGGCCTTCTACGTGCTGGACGAGGACACTGTCGGGTGTGTGGCCGGGTGGGGGGGTGCATGTGTTGAAGGCTCAAAGCTGGGTCCCTGAGGGGAGGCAGGACACAGGCAGCCCACAGCAAAGTGCCCACCCATCCAGCCCTTGACGCCTGTTGCCACCATCCGCACCCCAGCCCCAGGATCTGCGTGGGCAGGGCCTGGGCCAGGCACTGGAGCCCTTACCTCCTGGCCCTTCCATAGGCACGATGACGTGATTGGCAAGATCTCGCTGAGCAGGGAGGCGATCACCGCAGACCCGCGAGGTGGGTGGGGTCTCTGGCTTCCCCTGGGGCAGAGGGAGGAGGGGGTGGCCATGCCATGTGTAAGGGCACAGCGAGTGTAGTGGGAAGCACAGAGCTCCCGTGCAGGGTGATGTCTGATCTTGTTTATGTGTTTAATTTTTAACTTAGTTCATTTATTGAAGAGTCAATTCATCTCAATGGCCAATGTTGTTGTTATGTGCCGTCGAGTCAGACCTGACGCATAGTGACCCCTCCTTGGGTTTCCGAGGCAGTATCACTATGGAGGTAGATTGCCCAACCTTCCTTCCGAGGAGTGGCTGGTAGGTTTGAACTGCCAGCCTTCTGGTGAGCAATCAAATGTTTTAGGCACTACGCTACCAGAGCTCCCCAATGGCCAATAGGTACAATATATAGTGAAATTCGCCTTCTCACCCCAGCCACTGTGTTCCTCTTCCCAGTGTTGCCAGTTTTTTGTATGTCCTTCTAGAGAGATTTTAAATATATGCAAGGAAGTCACAACTGTAATAGCTGCAAACACATATGCGGTGCTTCTGTGTGCTCAGTACTTTCCAAGTCCCTTGCATGTGTCAGCTCCTGTGATGACCCTAACAACCCTTAGCACCCCGCTGCAAAGGGGAACAAGCTGAGGCAAGAGGGTTAAATGACTTGTTCAAGATCACAGGTCATTAAGTGGTCAGACTGGGCTTTAAACCTTGGGCTGTTTAGTTTCAGAGTCCGTGCTGTTAACTCTATGCTGTGTGGTTGGTTGATTTTCCCTGTTTACATGATAGTAGGTAGCCTGTCACACTCACTGTTCTGCTCCTTGCCTTTTCCCTTAACCCTATTTCTTGGAGATCTTTCCATACCGGTGCCCCAAGAGCTTCCTCATTCTTAGTCTGGCTGCATGTGGATGGATGTACCATCATGTATTTGCCCAGTTCCTTACTGATGGCACTTGCACTATTTACAATTCTTTCTCTAGTTCAAACAATGCTTCAATGAATGGCTTTATAGAATGTGATTTCACACACATACAAGTTATAGCAGATGAATTCTGAGAAGTGGATTTGCTGGATTACCTACATTTGCATGTTTGACAGCTACTGTTAAATTACTCTCCATAAGAGAGGTACCAATTTTCTCACCCACAGCCTTGCCAACAATTATCAAAAATTTTCATCTTGCATCTGACAGGTGAAACATTACCTGTGAATGCAGGTTTATTCTGCATGTCTCTTTGAATAGGGTAGAAAGTCTTTTTACATATTCAAGAGTCACTTTATTTCCTTGTCTGCCAGTTTTCTGTTCATATTGTGGGTGCCTTTTCCCCCATTGGGTTGTTTGCCTTTTCTTATTGATCTGTAGGAGCTCTTTGCATATCAGTGAAATAAACACTTTGTGATATGAGCTGCAAATGTTTTTCTCTCTTGGCCTGCGTTTAGACTTTGCTTATAATTTTTCCATATATATATGTATATGTAAATGTATGTGTGTGTGTGTGTGTGTGTGTATATATATGTGTTGTTGTTTTTATGTGCTTTCAAGTCAGACCCAACTCATAACAACCCCTCCTGGGGTTTCCAAGGCAGTATCTCTATGGAAGTAGATTGCCCAACCTTCCTTCCGAGGAGTGGCTGGGGGGGGTGAACCGTCAGCCTTCTGGTTAGCAGTCAAATGCCTTAGGCACTATGCTACCAGAGCTCCTATATATATATATTATATATATATATGTAATTTTTTTTTCTGTAGTCATCTTCCCTTTATATATCTATGTTGGCTCTTAGACTTTCTGTCATGTCTGAGAGGACTTCCCAACTCTATGATTAAGACTTCAAACAAACAAACAAACATAATTTCCAGTAACGATTTGTTTCTTTCCTTCTTTTTTCAATTTTTTCCCCAGTTGTCTCCCACTCCATCCAGGATCTCCAGTTCCGACCCCTCTCCAACCTTTCCAAGTGATTGGCAGCAGTCACCAGGCATGATCTGGTTCTTCTAGTCTCAGGACCATATAGGCTGAGACTCTCATGGTCCATTAGTTCTTTGGACTAATAGTTCCCTTGGGTCTTTGATTTTCTTCACTCTTCTTTGCTGTGCACAAGGAGAGACCCATAGTTGCATCTTAAACGTCCGCTCACAAGCTTTTAAGACCCCAGTCGCTACTCACCAAAGTAGGATGTAGAACAAGATTTTCGTGTACTGTCTTGTGCCAATTGAGCTGGCCATCCTCCGCAGCCATGGTCCCCAGCCCACACGCTCAGCAACTCACTCCCTCCAGGTCCTTAGTTGTGGCTAAGAAGTCATCCTAACTTCATCCTCTATGCTGCATATAGACATTTTTATAGCATATACGGTTTCCTTTTTCTTTTTACATTTAAACCTTGCTACATTTGTTATTTATCCAGATACAAGGGATGGGGTAGGGAGTGACGTTTATTTTTTTATCTGGATGATTATTCATCCCAACACCATTTATTGAATAATCAAGCTTTTTCATTAGTGAGAATTAATCATAAAGATTACAGCTTAACTGAGAACCTACTGTGTGCTGATCATCTTCATAATCATTGCTGTTTAATGAAGGCTTACTGTGTGCTAGGAGCTCTGGTGGCAAAGTGGTTAAGTGCTTGGCTGCTAGCTGAAAGGTCAGAGGTTCAAACCCACCAGTGGCTCCATGACAGAAAGACATGGCAAGTTGCTTCTGTAAAGATTATAGCCTTGAAACACCACAGGGCAGCTCTACTCTGTCCTCTAGGGGTGCTGTGAGTTGGACTCCATGGCAATGGGTTTTTGGTTACTATGTGCTAGGCACAATGCTGACTGGTTTAGCTTTTGGCCTTACAGTGCCCATTAGGCAAGCACTAGCATTGTCTCCACTTTACAGCCAATGGGAAGCAAAGCTTAGAGAGGTGATGTGATTTGCTCCAGGTTGCATGACTAAATGGGCAGAGGTGGGAATTGAGTCTAGGCTGTATCCACATCCAAAGTCTGTGTTCTTAACCTGCCCACTGAGCTGTAATGTGCCTTGAACATCCACCCAAGGGGGTGGAATTAAATGAATGAAGTATGAGGCTGGGCTTCCAGGAACTTACGGACCCGATAGGGAACAGAACACATTCACGTGGAACAGGAAACAAGAAAAGGAGGAAACCGTCCATGTGTCTGCAACTGCATTGGGTGCTTTTTATTGTTTCAACGAGACTTTGATAGACTGGGACAGAAATGTGGGGGTGAGGGTATGTGCAGTGGCTGAGGAGGAGAGGGCAGTGAGGGCTAGTGTGGTCAAGGAAGGCTTCCTGGAAGAAGGGGAATATGAGATGGTCCTTAAAGGTGCTTTGGTAAAGACACTATGGGGTGTCTCTATGGGTTCTCTTCTAGAGGCAGGTGGGGACCAGGCTTTATACGCCTAGCTGTGATCCGTGCTATGGCAGCATGGGCCCTGGGGCTGCACTGCCCATGTCCAAATCCTAGCTCTGCCATCTACTAGCTGGCGAATCATAGGCGTGACTCTTCCCTCCCTGTGCCTCAGTCTTCTCATCTTCAAATGGACATAATTTCAACCTGAGAAAGTTGACTCCAGAAGTCGGTGACTTAGGACATTTTAAATTTCAATTGAATTTTAACTTAATACAATACCTAGTCCATGGTAGGTGCTTAATAAATGTTAGTGCCTACACCTGCCAAAGGTGCCCTGGTGGCACAACAGTTAAACGCTCAGCTGCTAACCGAAAGGTTGGTGGTTCGAACCACCAGTGGCTCTGTGGGAGACAAGACCTGGCGATCCGCCCTCATAAAGATTGCAGCCTAGGAAACCCCATGGAGCAGTTCTCGACTCTGTCACATGGTGTTGTGTGAATCAAAAATCGACTCACTGGCACCTCACAACATCCATGCCTGCCAGGGATCGACAGCTGGATCAGCCTGAGCCGTGTGGACCCGGATGCCGAGGTGCAGGGTGAGATCCGGCTGGCGGTGCAGGTGCTGGAGGATGTGAGGGGCCGTTGTCTCCGTTGCCATGTGCTCCAGGCCAGGTATGGTCACGAGGGGGGAGTGTGTGACAATGGGTAGGGATCTCTTGGGTCCCCCAGATGCCCTGGTCTTTAAGATGGCCTTACTGCAGAGGCATTTCTGGGTTCACAACCAGGATCCCTGTGTGAACAAGCAGCTCCAAGTTCACTGGTTCTTGGGGGCGGAACTTAAGCAAAAGTCCTTATTAGGTACCCCCTGACCAGCAACAAAGGCTGGGCATTCAAGAGCCAGCCAGTTGAATGTGGTGGTGTATTAATCAAATTGTAAGTGACACAAACCCAGTTCATACTAGCTTCAGCAGAAAAGCTAATTTATTGGCTCAGATGGCTGACATGTGCTTCAGGAATGGCTGGATCCAGGTGCTTGAATAGTAACGTCAGCAATGTCTGCCTTTTGGCTCTGCTATCCTCTGTACAGGTAGCCTTTCTCCAGTTAGGGGGCAAAGATGGGTCCAGAAGCCCCAGCCTGGCATCCTATCAACTTAGCAGCTCCAACTGAAAAATAATTTCTATTTCTAACCAATATCCTGGGACTAATTCTTATTCCGTAGTGATACTGCCTCGGAAACCCAAGGAGGGGTCACTATGAGTTGGGTCCGACGCGACGGCACATAACAACAACAACAATTCTTATTGGCTCAGTCTGGGGCTCATGCTTATCTCTGAATGAATCACACTGACTCAGGTTGGTCAGGCTGAGTCACAGGTCCATTTCTGGAGTGGAGGGTAGGGTCAGGTCACTAAGTCAGGTGAATGGGGAGTAGAGAAGGGGTAGGTACTGCCTCAAAGGAAAATCAGAAGGAGGAGGGATGCAGGACCAACAAGCCCACAGATGGCCCCTCTAGGGGCACCAGCTCCTGGGACATCTGTCTTCCCTCTGGCCCACTCCCTGCTCTGTGGCCCCTTCCCTCCTCATCTCGCCCTTCATTCTACCCTCCAACGCTCCATCCTTTCTTCCCTCTCATTCCCCTATCCCGTCTTTCTGCCTTCTTTTCCCACCTCACTCCCCCAGTCCTCACTCAACCCCTAGGTGGGGGAGACCTCTATTTCTTGGTTGCTGTGTGACTTCAAAGCCCTTCCTTGACCTCTCTGTGCCTCTCCCATCTCCAGATTTTTGGGCCCCAGCTGGGGCTCCCTGGAGTCTGGATGAGGGAGGGCCAAGGAGGCAGGGGACCGGTGCGGGGGCTCTGCACAGGGCTGGGCTCCCCATCTGCTCGGTGTCCACGCCCCCTTCCCAGCCACGAGGCTGCACAGGATCCTTGCAAGCAGGAGAGAGACTGATCACTGTCGCTTAGCAACTGGGCCAGCTCCTAGGAAACCAAAGAAGGCTCAGGATGCCAAGCAGCGGTGGGAGAGGAGCAGGAGGAGGAAGCAAGCAGCCCAGGGAAGGGGGTGCCCCTGATTTTGGAAGGAGGGGTTAGGGAGGCTGATTGGGGTGGGTCTTTTCGGTTGTCATGGCAACCAGAATCAGGGGGTTCCTGCCTCGTGCCTTTTCTTGAGCCCTAGGCAGGAGGTAGAAATGTTTGTTGAATGAATGAATGAACTGAGCACTCACAATCTGCCAGGCACTATGCTAAGCCCTTTACACACCTCATCTTGTTTAACCTTTGGCCCTGTGAGCTTGGTCAGTTATTACTCCCATTTTCCAGATGAGGAAAACTGAGGCTCAGAGAGGTGATGTGATTTTTTCTCAGGGTTACCTAGCCTGGCTCCAGGGAAACAGAGACTTCCCACCCACCAACTGCACCTTGTTTTATGGTGCAGGACTTGACTTTTCTGTGCCTCAGTTTCTTCATCTGCAGAATAGGGGCTAGTAGTGCCACCTCGTAGGGTAGGTGTGAGGCAACAGGGAGATATGGGTCTTGGGGGTGTGATGATGGGGGTCCCTTACTCAGCAGTTCATTGCCTTGGAATGCACTTGGAAACCAGCGGCATTTGAATGATCTGCCCTGAAGCCACCCCCACCACAACTTGGTCTTGGACCCTGAGGGTCCTCCGACTCCCCTCACCCCTGCCCCCATCTATTCCCAGGGACCTGGCCCCCCGTGACATCTCTGGGACGTCTGATCCTTTCGCACGTGTGTTTTGGGGCAGCCAGAGCTTGGAGACCTCGGTGAGAAGGGAGAGATGGGAAGCCGGGAAGGGGAGGAGCATCGGGGAGGTGGGGGGGGGCACCAGCACTGTCCCTCACAGACCACCCTCTCCTCCCCAGACAATCAAGAAGACCCGCTTCCCACACTGGGACGAGGTGCTGGAGTTCCGGGAGCTGCCAGGAGCTCCGTCCCCTTTGCGGGTGGAGCTCTGGGACTGGGACATGGTGGGCAAGAATGACTTCTTGGGCATGGTGAGCACCCTGGCCCCGACGCGTCTGTGACTCCCCAGTGTCCCCAAGGAGAAGGCGGGGGGGGGGTTGGCTGAGCCTCCTGGGGCTGGGCTGGGCAGGTTCCCAGGAGTCCAGGATTGGCCAGGCTGGGTGATGGAGTTCCATCACCCCCTGTACAGGTGAAGAGACTGAGGTTCTCAAAGGGGCAGAGACCTACCCAGGGTTACAGGGTGGGCCCAGGTTCTCACCCTAGGAAGGGAACAGCCAGGACCACTGTGTGCCTGCCCCGTGTCCTCTGGCATAGGTTCATCTGCTTAAACCCTCACGACTGCCCTGTGAAGCTGGGGCTGGTGTCCCCATTCTACAGATAGGGAAACTGAGGTTCAGGGAGGTCAGATGGCTTGCCTGAGGTCATGTGACCAGGAAATAGCAGAGCTGGGATTGCAGTCCAGGTCTCTCTGAGTCCAGAACCAAAGCCCTACACGTAGAGGCACTGGGTTCAAGCAGGGCCTCAGCTTTCCCTCTGTTAAATGGACGGGGTTGTGCCTCACAGGAAGAGTGGACGTGGAAGTGGCCATATGCTCAGGGCTGGCATGTTTTCTTTTTAGAAAAGGAGACACGATTAGAGCAAATGAAAGAGACGTTCAGTCATGCGTTGCTGGTGGGATTGTAAAGTAGTGCAGCTGCTTTGCAAAACAGCCTGGCAGTTAAAGAGGTTAAATATAGACTTACCATATGAGCCAGCCTGCTCCTAGGTAGGCACCCAAGAGGGATGCAAACACACGGTTACACAAACAGTTGCGTTCAAAGGTTCATAGCAGCATTAATTCATGGCAGCTGAAAAGTGGAAACAACCGACATGTCCCTCACCCGCTGAATGGATACATAAATCGTGCTCTTCCCGCACAATGGAACCTGCCTGCTAAATGCTGTGGGTTTTTGTGAGTGGGAGCTGAAGAAAAGGCTCTGAGCTGCCTGGTGCTGGTTTCACAACCTGTCACTCCACTAGAAGCCATGGGATTGTACGCTTTCAATAGGTGACTTGGATGGTATGTGAATTCCATCTCAAAGATGATGTTTAAAATGCGAGAGGGCAGGAGAAGGCTCAGGGCCTTCTGGACGCTGTAGCGTTTGGATGGATGCAACATGTGTCCCCCAGCAGAAGTGAGAATACATCTGGTGCCGACGTGTTTGAGTCTCAGCTCTGTCTCTAGCAGCTGTGTGACCTTGAGCCAGTCTCTCCACCCCTCTGAGCCCCCAGTGCCCAGCAGGAGGATATAATCTGGGACAGGGGCATTGACGCTATGTTCATGGGATCTGGTAGGGAGGAGGAAGGGGTCCCTGGTAGGCCATGCCACCCCCTCTGGGATGAGCGCTCTGAGCTCTTCTACCAGGTGGGAGGGTGTCCAGGCCGGGCCAGGCTGGGCTCGGCTGAGGACCCGTGTGCCCCACAGGTGGAGTTCTCCTCACAGGTCCTGCAGCAGAAGCCCCCCAACGGCTGGTTCCGCCTCCTGCCCTTCCCCAGAGCTGAGGAGGATGCTGGGTAAATGTGGGGCCCGTGGAGGGGGTATGGGGAGGAGAAGCATGTTGGGTACCATCACCAGCCTGCCACAGACTGTCACCATGTCACTTTATCCATGCAATGCATGCATTCAGCAAATGTCTGTTGACTGCCATTCAGTGTGCTTATGTGTGTCCAGACGAGGTCACCTCATACCCACCCACCTTCTCACATACGAATGTGTCATTTCACATTATTGGCATGTGTTCAGGACTTGGGGTTCTTCCCCACCTGTCCATAGCTGTCTGTCCACACCTGGCTACACCTGTCCCCACCACCCACTGCTGACTACACTGTCCAGACCTATTCACACCGTCCGTTCCTGTACACACTTGTTCCCACAGGCTGCATCTCTCCATGCTGTCTGCACCTGTTCACACCAGTCTGAACTCGTTCTTTCCTGTTGGTACCTGTCACTGCCTACTCACACCTGAGTTTTCTGCCCACACCTGTTCACACCTGCCCCATTTTTTTTTTTTTTTTGCATCTATAATTTGCTTTGCTCCGGATTTTTTTTATTTTATTTATTTATTTATTTATTTATTATTAGGATTTGGGTGAAGATTTACAGAGTAAATTCACTTTTCATACAGCAGTTCACATATACTTTGTCTCATGTCATTGACCAAAATTTACAAAGCAGCAGCTCCCCTCCCACTTCCTCCCCATAGTTACCTCCTCCCAGTGTCCATCCCTTCATACTCTTCTGCACCCTGAGCTATCTCCCTGTGCATAAGCAGCCCTTCCTTCTCCCATGATTGTTCTCTCCAGGGCGTGTGTCTACTTGAGGTAAATGTTTAACTCACATGCCTGTACTTTGTTTGGCTGGAAACCACAGTTGTGGGTTCAATTCCAGACCTGAAGGGCAGCTAGGGGCCATAGTCTCAGTGGTTACACAAGGCTCTATTGGACCAGCAAACCTGGTCCCCACCTTCTTTTTTTTTTTTGCCTCCAAATGATTTTGAGTTTTGTACCACATTGTTCTCCCTCTTTATGCAGGATCTCCTACATCCCTTCCAAGTGGATGGCAGTGGTAGCTGGGCACCATCTAGTTCTTCTGGTCTCATAGTTGTATAGGTTGCAGATCAGATGGTGTACCAGTCGCTAGGACTGATTGTTTCCATTAATTTTGGTTTTCTTCTTTCTTCTTGACGAGGAGAGACCCGTTGTTGCATCTAGATGGCAGCTTCCTAGCGTTTAAGGTCCCAGTCGCTACTCGCCAAAGTAGTAGGTGGAACAATGTTTTGTATAGTATGTTATGCCAATTGAGTTTGATGTCCCCTGCAACTATGGTCCCAAGCCCGCAGGATCAACTACTTGGTCCCTCTGGGTAGCTGGCTGTGACCAAGTAATGACCATAACCTTGCCCCTTGTCAGCTCTACTATACACCTGGGAATTCTGATCATTCACATGAACTTATAGGCCCATTGTCTGCCAACCCTGTATATGATCTTGGATACACTCTCCATTTAGACATACCTAATTGTTTAGCTTGTTCACCCATCTATCCGTCCCTATACCCATGTTTGCTTTCACTGACAACTCAGTATTGTATATGCAAAGGGGTTCATATTTGTTGTTTGTACTGCCCATGTAACTCTCTCTGTCTTTGTCATCCTCAATGCTGCCATATTGGTCACTCCCATTTGGTACATTGCCCTTCTCTTCACCCAAATCAATATTTATCTCTATCTATCTAACAGCATTCCCTCCCCTTCCCTCCCACCCCTGGTAACCAACAAAGAAAATGTCCTCCAATATATAAACCTTTCCTTAACTTTTACAATAACACCTGCCCCATTTTTGCAAACGTTCATGCAAACATCCTCATCTGTGTTTATACCCACCTCTGGGGTGGGGTATTCACACCTGACTGCGTCCTTACGCTCCTTCACCTGTGGTCTGGCCTCGGGCAGGGGGAGCCTGGGAGCTCTGAGGCTGAAGGTGCGCCTCACGGAGGACCGAGTCCTGCCCTCCCCATACTACAAGCCGCTCACAGAGCTTCTCATGGAGTCTGCACTGGGGCCGGCAGAGGTGGGTGCCCCGGGCACGTGGTTCCCCCGGGGATGTGCGGGGATCCGGGTCATGGCCTCCCCATCGCAGGCCACCTGGGCTCTTCTGCTGTGGAGCCCCAGGGTCCTGGGCCACCTCTTCCACCTCCTGTTGCCGACCAGGAGGATGTCGCTAGCCCCCTGGCTGTGCTGGAGGAGCTGACTTTGGGGGACTGCCGCCAAGACCTTGCCACCAAGCTGGTGAAGCTCTTTCTTGGCTGGGGCCTGGCTGGGCCCTTCCTGGACTACCTCACCCGGCGTGAGGTGGCTCGGACTAGTGAGTTGCCCACTGACTGCCCCAGGATGGGCCTGAGGCAGGTCCCTGGGGGTGGGGCTCCTGGGGGTGAGGATCCCTGCTCTGTGCACCCCCAGCCAGCCTGGGCATGCAGTTCTGAGCTCAGACCCCGGTTTGACTACTTGTGATCCGTGTGACCTCTGGCAGGTCACTCAGCCACTCTGGGCCTCTGTACTGTGAAAGGGATAAACTGCCGGGGTCTCCCCAACTCCTGTGCTGGAAGACTCATGACTCCCACTTTGGGTGGGTGGGGTGAGCTGTGTCCAGCCCCCCACATCCCAGCAACACTTCCCTCCTGTCCTCTCAGCCGATCCCAACACTCTCTTCCGTTCTAACTCGCTGGCATCCAAGTCGATGGAACAGTTCATGAAGGTGAGGCCCACTCCTTTCCTGGGGCTTCCTGGATGCAGCGCTTGGCCAGCCTTGGGTGGCACTGGGTGGCTGGGCTGGAGTGTCGGTGGCTGGTGCCTGGCCTTGCCCTGAGCTGCACCTCCTGTAGTGGCCCTGCCCAGCTCTTGCTTGTACCCAGCCTCACTCACAGCTGTCCCCGACCTGATGACCCCAGCCTTGCCTCATGTGCCTTGGGGGTGCTCCCTGCCCCCCTTCTTGGACTTGCTGAGCCTCGCCTTACACTGTCCCTGACGTGCCCCTGACCCCCAGCTCACGGGCACTCCCTGGACTCACCCTCAGCCCTGCCCTGTGTGGTGCTCCCTGCCCCCAGCTCGTGGGCATGCCCTACCTGCATGAGGTCCTGAAGCCAGTGGTCAACCGTGTCTTTGAGGAGAAGAAGTACATGGAGCTTGACCCATGCAAGATGGAATTGGGCCGCACCCGGTGAGCAAAGCTGAAGAGAGGGCTCCGACCCTCCCTTAGCTCCCTGTGCCCACCAGGAGCCTTGTCAGGTGGGCAGAACCAACTGCCACCCCACCCGGGGCACAGGAGCTGCCATGAGAGTAGGCAGGTGTCCTTTAGGTTGTGCAGTGTAGTGGTTAAAGGGCAGGACTTTGAAACCCACCTCTCTGGGTTCAAATCCCAGCTCTGCCTCTTAATCACCATGCCTGTTATTTCATCTGAAACACAGATTCATGATACTGACCTCATTGCTTGTTACAGTAAGGCCCATGTTACTAGCTCATGCGTGAGTGTGACAATTAAACAAGTCACACATGCGTAGCCCAGCACACGGTGAGCTCCCGGAAGTGTTCTCTTTATTATGTTGGTGGTTTTGTTGTTTTATTATTGTTGCCGTCCTGAGTTCTAATCTCAACTCTGCCATTTATTTGCAAGGCAGCCTCTCTGAACCTCAGTTCCTTCATCTGTCAGATGGGACCAGTCAGGTTACTTAACCCCTCAGGTTGTCTTTCAGATCCAATAATCCAGATCAATTGATCCGGATCAATTTCCAGGTTTGGCAGTTCGTCCAGGGCTCTGTGCTTTCCCCTGTGGACTGAGTCATTGTGGGATGAGCCAGGCAGATGCTAAAACTAGCTAAAGAAGGGAGCGTGATAACTGAAGGAAGAAGAAAAGTGCTATTCCATCCTCCATTCAACAAAATGATTGTTGAGCACATACTGTGTGCCAGGTGCTGGGTTGAACCCTGAGGATGTGACAGGGAACAGACGGACACAGACCCCTTTCCCGGGGGAAGACAGATCATAAATCAACTAAACAAGAAGGTTATTGGAGACCATCAGTGGACCGGAGGAAATAAAGCGGGGAAGGGGGTCCTGTGACAGCCTCCCAGAGGCGGGGACACTGGACAAGTCCTTGAAGAAGTGAGGGAGGGTGTCATGGGGAGACCTGGTGGAACAGTATTAGAGGCACAGGGAACAGCAAGTGCAAAGGCCCTGAGGTCAGAGTGTGGGTTTGGCATGTCCCTACTGGAAATGCAATGAACCAGGGTGTGTGAGATGATGAGCAACGGAGGTAGGACAGCTCCCTTGAGGAGGTGACACTTAAGCCGGGTATGTGGGGAAGAGTGTCCCAGGCAGAGGGAACAGCATGTGCAAAGGCCCTGAGGTGGAAATGAGCTCAGTGGATTGAGGAACAGCGAGAAGGCTGAGGCTGCCCTGGTGGATAGGTTGCTCTGAGGCTGAGGCTGCCCCGCTTGTTCCTCCAGGAGAATCTCCTTCAAGGGCACGCCCTCGGAAGAGCAGGTGCGGGAGACCAGCCTGGGGCTGCTGACCGGCTACCTGGGACCCATCGTGGACGGCATTGTAGGCTCCGTGGAGCACTGCCCGCACGTCATGCGCCTGGCCTTCAAGCAGCTGCGCCAGCGCGTGGAAGAACGCTTTTCCCAGGCAGAGCACGAGGTGGGCACGGTGGGCCGGGCACTCCCATTGGGCAGGTGGGGAGACTGAGGCTGGAAGTCCAGGGTCACATGGTGAGGCAGGGGTGGGACCAGGACCCAGGCTGCCTGTGCTAACCCACTGTGTTCCAGCAGAAGTGGAGACGGTATTCCTGGCAGGGTCTGGGGCCCGAGAGTAGTAATAATAACTACTATAGTAGCAGCTAACATGGGCCAGACCTTGTTTGAGTGCCTTATGTATTTATGACGCCTTTAATCTTCCTATCGACCCCACGAGGTGGGTAATAGCGTCACTTCCATGTGGCAGAGGCCCAGAGAGGTGAAATCATGCAGCTGGGAAGGGGCGGTGCTGAGACTGGAACCAGGCAGGCCAGCTCCTGAGTCTTGCTCATAACCACCCAATCAGAGAGTCTGGCACAAAGTAAGTGCTTCTCAAATTACAGCTATTATTGAGAGACAGACAGACAGGCACACAGACAGACAGACACACTGATCTGGCACATTGTAGGTGCTCAGGAGGCGATACCAAAAATTAAATCTCAAAATCAGTCCCTGATACCAAAGTTGAAAACTTGGATGCTATGGGTTTCAGGCAGGTGAGGTAAATGAATGAAGGAGATGAACTGTGGGTCAGTAGGGAGTGGTGGGGACTGTGGCAAATGGCAGTACTCACAGCTCATCTAAAGGAGGAGGGTCCAGACTATTATTGCCATGTAGGATTAGGATCTTATATTGCCAGAACTTCTTTTTTTTTCAAGTATAAATTCTGGATTTTATGTGGGGACTCTTATTTTTTTCAATATTGGCATGAGTTCACTTTAAAAAAAAAAAAAACACAACACCTTGGGCCTATCATAGGAGTTCTGGTGGCACAGTGGTTAAAGCATTTTGCTGCTAAGCAAAAGGTTGGTGGTTTGAACTCACCAGCCACTGCACATGAGAAAAATGTGGCAGTCTGCTTCTGTAAAGATTGACAGCCTTAGAAACCCGATGGGGCAGTTCTACTCTGTCCTATAGGGTCGCTGTGAGTCAGAATTGACTTGATGGCTGCAGGTTTGGTTTGGTTTGGGGCCAGTTTTTACAAATTTGCGATTGGATTGGACCACAGGCCAACAGTTTGAGAACTCCTGGGTTAATGCTCAGCGCCCACTCTGAAGTGGCTGTCATTGCCTTGCTTACAAATGACATTGGGGAAGACTAACTCCGAACACAGGCCTGACGTTGAAGCAGGTGCCGGAGTCTAACCTGCTGAGCAGTGGAGCTGGAATAGCCCCACCCTGGAGCTCTGATGCCACATCTCTCCCCACTTTTTCATTTTAAAATTATTTTTTTAAAAAACTTTTTATTGTGATTTGGATGAAAATTTGCAGAGTAAATTAATTTTTCATTCGACAGTTCATCCACATTTTGATTCGTGATGGTGCTTGCAATCCCCACAATGTAACTGGGCTCTTCCCGTTTCCTCCTTGTGGTTACATTTCTGCCCCTCTTTCTTTCCTGTCCCTTCTTGCCTTCTGAGGTTTCCCCCTGGGCAGATGCTGCCCTTTTGATCTTGTGTCATTGATTGTTCTAAGGAGTGTGTACCACCCTGGTGTGTCATTTGTTCACTTCACAGGTCTGTCTATTGTTCGGGGAAAAGTTGAGCAATGGGGGTGAATTCAGTTCTGGGCTTGCAGGGTGACTAAAGGCCATAGTCTCTTCTAAAAATTAAATTCTCATGCACATCAGAAGACTTCTCCAAAAGAGTAAAAAGAGCCTGCAGATTGGGAGAAAATATTTGGCAGCGACATAACCAGCAAGGGGCTTATCTCCAATATTTATAGAAAACTTCAATCCTTCAACATCAAAAAGACAAACAATTCAATTAAAAAATGGACAGAGGATATGAACAGTGACTTCACCAAAGAAGATATTCAGGCAGCCAACAAACACAGGAAGAAATACTCACGATCATTGGTCATTTGTTGTTGTTGTTATGTGCTGTCGAGTCGGACCCGACTCATAGCGACCCTTCCTTGGGTTTCCGAGGCAGTATCACTACGGAAGTAGATTGCCCCATCTTCCTTCCGAGGAGTGACTGGTGGGTTTGAACCGCCAGCCTTCTGGTTAGCAGTCAAGTGCCTTAGGCACTATGCTACCAGAGCTCCTCATTAGTCATTAGAGAGTTGCAAATCAAAACAAGATACCATCTCACCCCAGCAGTAATGGCAAAGGTCAAAAAACCAGAAAACAACAAACGCTGGCGAGGGTGTGGAGACACTGGAACCCTCATACACTATTGGTAGGACTGTAAAATGGTGCAACCACTGTGGAAAATGGTTGGTGCTTTCTTAAAAAGCTGGAAATAGAAATACCATTTGATCCAGCAATCCCACTGCTAGGTATATATCCTAAAGACACAAGTGCAAGGACACAAATAGATATATGCACACCTATGATCATTGCTTTGGGCGTCCCTGAGTTGTCCCTGGGGCCCAGCCCCAGGGACAACTCAGGGATGCCCAAGCAGCAGGCCAGAAAAGCAGGAGAAAGGGGATTAAAAGCCAGGAAGCCAGACAGAGGTACAGTCAGCCACAGGGACCCAGGTGGGGGTGATACGAGAGGTCTCCAACAGCAAGACAAACTTGTCTGTCGGTTTGTCCTACTGTGGTGACACGTAGACATGAGTTTTTAGGCTGAGCCTCTGGTGTTTAAAACCCAGCGAGATGCACCTGGTGCACAGGTAACAGCCCAGATTATAGACTGAGACAGACTAGGAAGAAGGAAGAGGCCGTCCACTTCTCAAACAATTGGCCAGGGAAAACCTTATGAATAG